CTCAGTCACCCAGTGCTGCTGTCACAGACACCACAGTGCACTGTCTCAGTCACCCAGTGCTGTTGTCACAGACACCACAGTGCTCTCTCAGTCACTCAGTGCTGCTGTCACAGACACCCAGTGCTGTTGTCACACACACCACAGTGCACTCAGTCACCCAGTGCTGCTGTCACAGACACCACAGTGCCCTGTCTCAGTCACCCAGTGCTGCTGTCACAGACACCACAGTGCAGTGCCTCAGTCACCCAGTGCTGCTGTCACACACACCACAGTGCAGTGCCTCAGTCACCCAGTGCTGCTGTCACACACACCCAGTGCTGTTGTCACAGACACTGTAGTGTACTGTCCATCATCTGTTTCTGCTGGTACTGCCTCTGCTATCTGGTACTGGCATAACAATTATCACAAATTGGATGGCTTTATTAATTTTATACCCACATTCTTGTCTCATTGCAGTCCAGTAAACAGGCCCATAGTGGACCTTCTAGGGTGTTACACCATCAGTCAGCGAGAGGATCTTGCCCACTTTCCTGCCACGGAGCCCCTTGCATCCATACCAGCAGAGAGGTGCTGCCTTTGGCTCCCACTATAACTCCCTAAGCACTACACCACCAGGGCAGGTTGTCATGACAATTGAGTTGGGCCTGACCCTCCAGAAGGTTTTCAGAGGCAGTTACTTGAATGGGAGCAGCTGGCAGATACATAAGGCGATGCCCCAGGCTGGCAGCACAATTCCTTACCACCAGACCATCAGAGTAGTTCAGGAGGCAGAGGTGACACTCAGGAGGCCAGCTCCAGGGGAAGCTTTCTGTCAGCTTTTGGGAAGGTCTATTATCATCAATCTCTGGGGACCAATCTTAAAGATCTTCATGGGTCGTATCATCAGTTTTCCTGTGAACAATGAGGTTCTGAGGTGACAGCAAAGACCCTGGACCCAAAGAACATGCTCCCAACCTGTGGTGGGTTTTTTTTGGCCCTTCTCCCTCCTTTCTTCTCCACACCCCAGCATATCCCCCCAGACATTGGATCAGTGGCATCCCACCCTTAGTCCCTAGATGACTGATTTGCATATCATATGGTAAAAAACCATACCTCACTCCCACATTATAATATTACTTGTACGCCATTTTGTCATATTCTAGCCAAGGGAACACAATTCAAATTTGGGGGACGAAATTCACTGTGACCCGAGGTCGAGCTTGATGGGATACTTGGGATCTGAGCACCTGGAATAGTACCTTTTACATCAAAGGGCAAGATCAGTGGGCTTGGGACACAGAGTTCCAGGCCCTCTCAGCACTGTCACGGAAAAATGGGGCTAATGGAAAACAATTGCCATGTGTCAACAAATAGATTCATCCCTGTACATGTTCACTAGTCACGTCAGTAAATTTGGAAGACAGCTACCTGGCCAACTGACCAGAACAGACACGTATTTACTCCCATTTAACTAAAAAAATGATCCAGTAGACTGTGGAAATCATTGAACAACATCATTACTATCACATGTAAGTAAAATGATGCTACAGATTATTAAAAAGTAATTGGAATGGTACATCAAGGAAATGCCAGAAAATCTGAAGGTGGATTCAGAATGAGGATATTTGCTGATGTCAGATGGACTTTGGTTGAAAGAAGAGAGATTCTTGTGTTTTATTGACTATACAAATGCATTTGACTGTGTGAACCCTAACAACTTATGGATAGCATTGAGAATGGGAATCCCTGAACACTTAACTGTGCTCATGCAAAACCTACACCCAGACCAAGAAGCTGTTGTCCATACAAAACAAGGGAACGTTTTGGGGAGAAGGGTGCAACAATGAATGAATGGAATTCCAAAATCTCTGTAGATGTCCATTGAAATGAAATAAATTATTAAAACAAAACAAAAACCACAAGGGAACGCTGCACAGTTTAAAATCAGGAACTGTGTTAGGATTGTATTCTTTCTCCGTTTATTTAAGCTGTATGCTGGGCAATCATGCAAGAAGTTAGACTTATGAAGAAGCTGTGGCATGAGGATTGGAGGACGATACGCAACAAC